TGTTGATAGGATTAGGAGATAAGTGTTGATAGGACTAGGGGATGGTGTTGATAGGACTAAAGATGGTGTTGATAGGACTAGGAGATGGTGTTGATAGGATTAGGAGATAAGTGTTGATAGGACTAGGGGATGGTGTTGATAGGACTAGGAGATGGTGTTGATAGGACTAGGAGATGGTGTTGATAGGACTGGGAGATGGTGTTGATAGGACTAGGAGATGGTGTTGATAGGACTAGGAGATGGTGTTGATAGGACTAGGAGATAGTGTTGACAGGACTAGGAGATAGTGTTGATAGGACTAGGAGATGGTGTTGATAGGACTAGGAGATAGTGTTGATAGGACTAGGAGATAATGTTGATAGGACTAGGAGATAGTGTTGATAGGACTAAAAGATGGTGTTGATAGGACTAGGAGATGGTGTTGATAGGACTAGGAGATAGTGTTGATAGGACTAGGAGATGGTGTTGATAGGAGTAGGAGATGGTGTTGATAGGACTAGGAGATGGTGTTGATAGGACTAGGAGATAGTGTTGATAGGACTAGGAGATAGTGTTGATAGGACTAGGAGACAGTGTTAATAGGACAAGGAGACATAACTATTACTTTTGGGAGAATAGAAGTAATCTTCAACTATGACAGTTTTATTTTTCTATCAGGGTGGTTGGACTTTGGAATGGGTTGTCTTCAGATGTGATGGATGCAGTTAATTTAAGGGAGTTTAAGGAAAAGCTTGATAAATATTTGAATAATAAGAGCTACTTCTGAATTTTTATTTTCACTTTAAAGTGTAGTGGATGGGATGGCCTAGATGGACCAACAAGTCCCTTGTTGTCCTTAAATTATACGTACATATGCATGTAATATTCTCATTTGTAAGTTACAAAACAATATGTAGTATGTACCACCATAACAATGTCTTTAAAACCTCAAATAAAATCTTGTTACTTGGAAATATTAACACCATCATTTTCAGTATTTCAGTACACATGAAACTCACCAAAACCAAGTGTATCACCAAAGTTGTGTAGGAATTCAACCAACATGAGAATGTTGGCAAATGCTTTTCCGGCCACTTTTACTCCAGGAATTCTCTTCAGTTTAGGTAGATGCTAAAAAGAAACAAAACTTTCGATCACTATAAAGGATTTGAGATACATTAAACTAATCCCGATGAATCAAAATACCCTGACTGAACAAAAATACAATGCTGACTATGAATATAAATCCTCAACATTTCTCACTAAAAAGTTTCTTTTTTCCTTTTGTTATAGTTTTACAAAATTAGTACAACTGTATAAAACAACTTACTGCACTGTCTTTCAACACCATGTCATCTACTGGTTTCTTCATTTCCCTTATCAGTTGTAACTCTATTTTTCTCTCCTCCTGGTGATGATAAAATGAAATACTAAGCTAACTGTATTGTGTTAAAAATAGTTAAACTGATGTAAACTATGCAAGGCTACATAAAGAAAAGTCCATGTTTAACAGTATTAAACAGTTCCTAGCTTTTTCTTTAATTTGTTAAGCCTTAATAAAATTGGAGAATGTTTTATCTTTACTGATTTGTTAGGACATGTTGTAATAAAATTTCCATTGAAAACTCATTAACAGCATTTAAGTTTTGTTTAATGATGAAAACACTAAACATTGTCCAAAATAATTTTATATCTATTATCACAAACAGTGCAGAAAGAAATCTAATTGAAAATAATATTTCAAAAGTGGTAGAAAAACTAACAATTCTAAAATACTATTACGTCTCTGTTCATTAGTTAATTTTCCGTAAATTCGTTCCAACGAAACTTTAGC